AAGCCTTTAACACTTCTCATCCGACATAATTAGTCTTTTCTGAGTATTCATTTAGAGGTGTCATGTATTATTTCAAGTCGCAAATTATGTCACTTTTATTCTAAAATATAGTTAATAATCTGACGCGTCATAAATACGGAAATGATTGCTGGATATTTCGTACAAGCATTTAGCAAGAAGTTTGTGTGTGATCATTTAACGTTTACTGATGGTTTGATACTCTTATAAAAAAAAACGAAAGAAAAAAAGAGATAGATAAATAGATAGATAGATAGATAGATAGATAGATAGAGGAAAAAAAGAAAGATTAGGATCTATGATTCTGTTTTCTGATACGCGGAATAAATGCGGACCTGTATCGCAGTCACATCGGCGGATTTCTTTCGGACCTCCCATCGTCTGTCTAACGAGACCACCGGAGGTACGACTGCTAAAAACCGTGAGCAAAAACCGGCCAAAGTACGATCTTTATACGGTTTGTTTTATATCGCGACCGATTCGCCGGAGCGCCGTGCTCCAATTACGAACGAATATATACGTCGTTTCTGCTGGACGTATATATTGCCCCCGCGACCCTATCGTCGCTTTATATGGCGAGAAGCGATAGAGCGTGCGCTATAAGCACGACGTCGGGTCCGGCACGAATTTACTGTTTGCGAGACGACGTTATTCACTGTCCGCGAATGAGAAACGATGTTTTCCATTGCAGCGCAATTTTAGGAATCACTGACCAAGAAAACGCATTTCCCGTTTACTGAATCGTCAATCGTTCTCCGCTTGAATTTTTACTAACATATAAAAGAAAGTTCAATAGTGTCTTCAATTGTGTAAAGTATTTTAAATGTTTAAATATTTTAAAAATATATATTCATAAAAAGTTTTTTTTAGTATCAACCTTGGAAAGAAATAAAGATTATCTTAAGAGCCACAAACGGTGGATATGCGTGCAAATTATATTTTTTAAATGTGTAAGTTAATACACACACATACAAATTCGAATTAAAAAATATTATACTAACAGTAATGCAGTAAATGTTATAATAAAAACTGTTCGTTCGTTTCTTTCTTTTTGCGCACTCTCTTTCTCGTAAAATAGACTTTGCATTGCACGCGCGCGGGAGTCTAAAGTGCTGCGGAATCTTGGCGTACAAAAAGCAGGGCGGCACTGCGCTAATGCTCGGAGTACCCTCGTCGGCATTTATGGGGCAAGTTCCCGAAGGTATAAGGACCTCCCGACATTTCGCAAAAGAAGTCTTGTTTACGTTTGTCGGAGAACAAAGCGACTCACGGTGGCGCGTAAGAAATACGACAGCCACGTGCAACGACACAACGTCCGTGCTGCTTGTCCCTCGCGTGCTACTTCGTGCGAGCTACACGAACTTCCTTGTCGTTAAGTATTTCAACGGGACTCTCTCGTTTTGGAGTATTTCGCATTTTCGAGCAATCGTGTCTCCGTGTTGTTGCTCCGAGCGAGCGGATATAGTCGTAAGCGAGTATCGAGACAGGGGTATAATTTTTTTCGATGAGTTAAACATTCGTTTCGAAACACGTATCTCTGGTCTCAATCATCGGGTTTACGTCGCGCGAGCAAATGTAAATATCACTTTTGCGTGTCAGAAGAATATCGGAATCCGTATACGCTCGTTGAAAATTCCGCCGAGAGGTCGCCTATCTCCATACTCGCGGAGAGGTACAAATTGCGCGCAAACAAGCCTCGGGTTCCAGCCGCGAGCTGCTTTTCCCGTTATTTCTCGCGCAAACGCAAATAAGCGGCAGCCGGCGACAGGCAGAAAATCAACGCGGGAAGTCGGCAAGAGGATTGTCGCCGCTCTTCCTCGGAATCTTGAGCGGTAGATCACACACAGAGAAAGAGAGAAAGAGAGAAAGGGAATGGGAGGCTCGTGCAGTTTGCACGCCGGACGGATAAAGCGCAGCGACAGCGCGACCGGCGCACATCTCTTACATATGCACGCGCGCATAAGCATAACGTGGAGGAACACGAGTAGATGATATCGTAGATGCACCTACGGGGCCGGCGGGGCGTCGACGCGATCCTTTGTCCTCGTTCCCGCAGCCGCTCGTTCTTCGCAGTCACCTCGCCCCCAGGGCCCTCGACCCCGGCGGCGCGCATTTTGTCCGCGGGAATACCTACATCCTGCGCCCAATCTCGTGCATCAATCCCGCCGAGTCTGCGGAATTGTGTCGAGTGCCGGTTTGTGCTCCGCGTGTGTGGAGCTACCGCGCCGTCGGCGCGCAGATCACGGATGTATATGTACGTACATACAGTTCGCGACAAAAGGTTACGTGCACTTTCTGAGAAATTACTTACAGTCTTCGCATCTTTTCTTCAACTTGTTTCTCTCTTTGATCAGCTTTCAAAATTTACTTTTTTACTTTATAAACTTTTTAACAACGATTAAATTATTTTAAGTATTTGACAGTAATGTAATTAATGTAATTAGAGAAAAGTTTTGTTTTTACGCTTGAGTTTAAATTTAATATGGATTTACTTTTTTTTGGAGAGAGAGAGAGAGACACAAAAAAGAGATATCTGTATCGGAGAAAAAAATAAGAATGTTCGTGCGACTGTTGCAACGCGCCAATGCGGGTTGCGGCCGATCATTACTCGTCGTTTCATTAGAATATCGCCGATAAAGGGGGTTTAATTACAAAGGTACCGCCTCACTTCCGGTCCACGGATACACATACGCGCGCAGTGCCCTGTCGTGCTGCACGCACACCTCTAGCCCTCTAGCACTCTCTCGCGCCCTGTTCCTTCTCTTTTGGATTACGTGTATTTCTACACATCGAGGGTGATTAGCAAGGTCGTTTTCTTAATTATGAGCTACTGTTAATAAGAACCGCGGTGTGTTACAGACGCGTGATTGTAGTACCGGCTAACGAGAGCTCGTCGTGTATACGAACGTGCGCTGTAATAGTTTTTTAACCTCTTCGCGAATACATATTCCTTAATTTTATGGTAGCTACATTGTAATATGTGTGCAAATGAGATATAATAATGATGCAGTGAATATATAATAATATTCACTGTGTGTTTTTGTTGCAACAGAACATGTACATATATATGTATATATTAGTGTTCATTGTGTTATTTCTTTCGTGAAAGTTATCCCTCATTTTTCATTAGCATTCTTGAATAAACACGATTGCGCGTTTGAATAAAAAGTAAAAAAAAACGCGGAAGAGTCTCTTTCACACGACTCTCTTATTTTCTCTTAAACAGTTTTACAAAGGTACAAGGAAAATTATGGTCGACCGTAAATTAAGCCAGAATTTATCGCGTCGGTTACTAATTGGTCGTTGAATAAATATAGAGGCGCGTGTTCCGGACGCGCGGTGCCTCGCGCCAACAGTGGCAGGGACAGATTACGATTTCGCCTGAACGTCTGGTAAAAAAAGGTTTTCGCTTGAAGAGCGTGTCGTCCCGTTTTGATCCGATCGTAAAGAGCTTACGGCGCGGAAAAGCGCTAAATGCGCTCCGATGTTATACCCGCCTCCATTAATATGTGCCGACGCGTTTAAAATACGATATTTAATCCGGTCGATAAAACGAGATCGTCGTTCGAATTCCGCAAATCCGCGGGATAACGTTTTAGCAGAGCGTTCAGTGCTTTCGAAAATCAACACTTCAGTTCTATTAAGTTCTATATATCGGATTTTATATAATTCAATTATTATTTTTTTTTTTTTAGTGAATATTAAAAGAGAGAACAGCTATTTTCACAACGTGTATATTATATATTTAACAGAAATATATGGATATTTGTAAGTAAGTGCAACACAACAAAATATAAGTCGTAAAAAATTTATGCAAACGTTAATTTTATATTGACTGCACATCGACTTACGCGATATAACGCGGAATATGACTTGCGACTTGAAATATAATCGCAAAAGCACAAAATACTTCAGATATCACGCAAGAAGCGAGTAATTATTAGTCAAACAATTGTCTCAAAAATCTGAAGAATTATCTGACACCGCCAATGTTCGATTGAACGAGTAAATACACAATTAACTTTGATAAATAAAACTTACCATGTTTATGGCGTGTATGTCGAGATTCTTCTTCTTTCTCTCAACCGAATAAAAACCAAAGACTGTTAGTCGCGCGTACTAATTGATGCTTTATTTAATTATTCGATTTAATATTCACTCACTTTCGACGCAAAAACACGAGAAAACTTGGAACGAATCAAACGGCACAGAGCGCGACACGATAAACACTGGAAGTGACTTTAGGTACTATGAGAGTCACAAACAAAAAAACAGATGCGCGTTACGCATATGCGCTATTTTTTATTTACATTGCCAGTAGCGCAAGTAGGCTAAATAATATTTATGAAGTTTTTTGTTCTTTTTTTGACCTCTTACAGATAAATAGCATATAGAGGATGTCCCGCAACTCACGAGCGTAATTGAAATGACGTATTTCTGAATTTTAAGACAAAACTTTTAATATCATACTATCGAAGCTATAATAGTTTTTAAATTAGAAGCGTTTAAAAGTGACCTATTAGATGGCCTATATTACGATCGTGAGTTGCGGAACACCCTGTATTAAAGACTTCTACCCAAAAAAAGTAATAATTATTATAAAAACATAAATTACGTACTTATGTGCAGACTGTGTTTGTGTTGACTCACGTAGTAGTGAGTATCACTTGGCTCTTGCGCACAGGAAACGTTAATGTATAAAAGTACGATGACGATTAGAGCGCGATACAGTAAGCGTCACTGTTACATTATATTTCGAATATTTTGTATTTGATACGTTTCTGTTTAGAATATAAAAAGAGATAGATAAATAGTGATTCTTATTTTTATATAGAGAGAGATTAATAGATTCGATATCGTTTCAAATCGACGACGTTCCCTCGCTCTCGATGGATTACAGCGTTCGTTCTTATCGACAGGTTGTTTTCCGCTTCGCGCACCACCGTTCGCGGCTCTGACGCATCGGTCATAGTTGTGCCAAGATGGCGACGCCCAGTGAGCTGTCTCTCGAGGAGATTCGTAATTATTTGCTGGAAAATGGAGGTACGGCGCGCAATCACGACCTGGTGAAGCATTTCAGGCGATTCTTGACGGACCCGGAGACACGAGGTGGGTTAAATTTATGACGTGTCGCGCGTGCTCGTTGTTGTCCCGTTGCGCGAGGCGTGACCTCAAATTCGCGTACGTGAATGTAAACACGTACAACGGTCTGATCAAGCTGCTGTAAATATTTACGGTGCGATGTATGATTTGTGCGTTACAGTCGAGGCGAGGAATCGGTTTAAGGAATACGTCAACACTTTGGCCACCATAAAGAACGAGGAGGTAGGTTATGGCTCCTTGGAGTTTTTTTCCGTCTTGACAGGAGCGACTTGTTGCGCGTTTGGCGACGTTGCCGGCTCCGCTCGTGATCAGCTGGAGAGGTGCGCGGTCAGAAAAATTCCGAACGAAAGTCCGTGTAGTTTAAAGATCCACGTTCTCTTCATTTTAATACTAAACATTATAACAATATACGCATAGACACCAGGCTTATAAATAATTTTTGAGAATGTGGAGTTTTGCAATTTAAAGGGAAGTAAATACTTATTTGAACGAACAAAAAATAAACGAATACCTAAGTAATCAAAAAATAAAAACAAATAAGTAATATATGCTCGCAAATACGTTATGATTGAAGTGGATTTGTAAAAGAAATTCTCGAAAAATATGCGAAATATGTAAAAACAAAAACAACTTTTATAACTAACATTCAGAAGTTTTGTTGATATTTTTTCTAATTAATGCATTAAGAAAAGAGAAACTTAACGGGTTAAGAGTTCTGTCGCTTCTGTCGAATCACTGACACTCGTAGTGATCTCAAATTGTGAATATTCCTTGACAGGGTGAAAGATACTTGGTTCTTCGGTATAAATATCGGAAACCTTTCTTAGATCTTTCGTCTCCTCATCAAGTAGGATCCTCTGTTGCCACCCCCGATCTAGCTATGCCAGTTTCTCCATTGCGTGAACCCCCACCTTACCGGCCGCCACCTCCCGCGCCTCTCAGTCCGTCTTCGCCGTCTGTAAACAATACTCAGACCGGCCTTGAGATTACGGTATCAAATTCTTCTGGCCGTGAGAATAGTCAAAATAATGATAGTTCGGAATCTTACGAGACAATGTCGTCGCCACCCGTTCCACCGCGTCGCAAAAGCCAGGACAAGCTGAAGACGGAGAACAAGGAAAACATCGACAAAAACAGAGGAAGCTCCTCGGAAGCCGTTATAAAGGTAAGATCGTTTTTTATACACATAAAACATTTTCTCGAGACATTACTGCAGATGCTGGCAATTTTTATCGATATCATAGTGTCGCACTTGTGGCGCAACGCGGAAATAACGTGTCATGTGCAATTGTATACAACGTGCTTGAAAGAAATGTTGAAAACTTGAGAAAGTTAATAATTATTACGTTAGATATATTGTTTTTTTTTTTAGAATATTAAAAAAATAATTTCTAGTATTATTAATATAAATATCTCTCAAGAGATCTTTTTTCTTTTAATTTATAGTTATTTGTTTTCTTTATTTTTATTATCTCAACATTTATATCATTTATTACACATAATTAAGTATCAATTGCAAAAGTCTAATTAACTCTTTTGCTACGGAATTTTTGCGGAACTAGTTGTCGGTACACCACCGCTTGTACTCTATAAAGATATACATATTTACCGCGCGAATACATCGATTATTATTAGGTTATGATAATCAAAAGAAAAACAGAAAAACAAATATATTATGAATAAAACACACTTGTATTTAATATCATTAATCGTCGTTAAATATCTACTCTTTCAAAATAAGCAAGTGTTATCGGACGACAATAGTCGCTCGTAGTATATGAAGCGTTTCGTGGTGAGCGACCATAGATCGCCTGTACTAGCGAAAGAATTGATTTCGGCATTTGAACTTGTTAAATTACAGGAAGATGAAACAGCCACGACAACAAATTCCTCGGCCGAACAGCTCAGCGTTCGCGAGCGGATGCAACGTTTCAATCGCATGGCCAGTGAAACCGACCTTCCCGCTAGACCCACCGAGACGACTACCTCTGTTAGAAAGCGAACTGAAAAAGTAAGTAATGTATACATCTGTTTTTTTTTTTTTTTTTTTTTTTACAAGCTGATATGTATAAATTTACGGCAACTGATATAATATATCTTTCTCTATAATACTAGTTATAAATTTACGGTAACTGACATAATATATAGACCGACAAACATGTAAAGATACATGATTTGATTTTCAAAACTCAAGATAAGACAAAGAATTTAGAAGAATATCTTTTTTTAAAGTTTCTGAACAATATTTTATTCTTGAATGAAACTAAATAATATATTACGTTTTTTGTGAACGATTTCACGAAAAAAATAATAGAATTTTAAAGAATAACTGCCCGAAGAGAAATTTATTACTATTCATTGTGTCTTGAGCAAAGTCGAACTACATTAGTCATTCTCGGCTTTTATTGTTTCACCGAAGTTGAAAGGAATTCAGGGAGATATATCGTTGTTGTGATATTGTCGCTTATACGTTTTTCAAACACATGCGGGAACGTTTAGATTCTGTATTGAATTATTTCGCCGGGCTTTAAATACTCGAGGCGAGCGATTCGGCATGAGGAACGATCCACGCGCGAGTATCGTCTATACATCGTTTAGGGCGGTGGGAGGAAGGATGCGGTATGTACAAGGCTGACTGCCCATCGTGCATACCGAGTAGGCTACTAGGAATCCTTTCTCCGCATCCTTTATACGCGCGCTCGCGACGATTCTCTCTTACTCGAACTCTCCTCTCTTCAATCTTCTCTCTCTCTTTTTCTCAGTTTCTCTCGTCGTTCGTGCGTCGTTTATCGCGACGAGTAATATTCATCGCATTTGAATATCCTGCGGGCGGTATCTCGCGTAGCGATCAGGATGTTGCACCGATGTTGCCGTAAATCATAATTAGCCGCGCCTGAAAATTAAAAGTAGAGAAAGAAGGATCTCGAGATCTCACAGGAGAGGAACGAGGAACAACCTTTTTTTCTGCCACGATCAACAAAGTTGCACAGAATACTGGCAGGATGTGGGGGGGGAGGGGGGGGCTTATTTTTTACGTGGTTGATTCTCTCCTCTATCGTAATTTTGATATATTTATCGGGCCCCGCGATTAAAGATGCCGACCGGTTAAAATATTCCGCGAAGGAGGAAGGAAGCGATTCTACGCTTCTTCCGGTCGATTATACATCAGATTATTCTCTTCTTTGACTATGTAACACAATGGACTGCCAGATATCCTCACTTTTCCTCACAATATTTGAATATAGAATTTTTAATAAACGAAAATATTCCCGGCTTTCGTTTATGATAACTTGAATATATTTCGACGTGTATTAACTATTGATATATTAGTAGGACTAATTTATTAATCCTTTTTGGAACAAGAGTTTGAAAAAGCCGTCAGAAATGTTTTTCGATTCGCATGCGATGGTGATTTTTTTTTTTTATTTATTGTATCTTTCAAAATGAGACGGCTTTAAAATTATTTTTAATATTACATTATTTTTCATATTTTAGATAAATAACGAAGTAACAAAATTAATATATTTGATTATAAGTGCAATATTTTCTAAATTGAGTGAAAGAGAAGACTAGTGGGAGCGCAATTAGTTGTGTGTTGTAAGTTTTTATGTTCAAAGATATAATAACAAACGTTTCGACTTAGGAGATGCGGTTTTTATCAATTTTATATAATATTAAGCCAAAGATTTTATATTTTTTAATGAACAGTAATCAGTTCTAATAGCCAAAGTCAAATGATGTAAAACGTATGATATAAAACTCATTGTCATGAGAAGATTCAAATTAAAATTTAAAAACAAAAACACAACACATAACTTTAGCTGTGCACCTTAGTCAGGGTAAAACTTTATCCACTACTCGCCGAAATATTTTGGCTTTGTAAGATTGAGATTTTTTTAATAAGCAAATGTTATTTAGATACAATGGTAAAAGTCGTGGGTGAATTTGACATATTTTTTTCTACAAGCATTTTTTTACAAAGAAACTTTATTGCGACATATACACGTTGAATAGCCCGTGATAATTATGTATTACTCACGCGACATAGTTCGGTCCTGGCGGGTCGCCTTTCATATGCGATTTGACCGGGCGGACCGTTAATTTTTATTGCTTGTAAGCGCGGAAAGGGTTTTCAGTCCATGCAGGGAGAATCCTCTCGCCTCCGGACATCCTGTAATCTCCCGGAAAGCCTACGGAGTCCCGCCTCGTCGGGCTTTCTTTACAGTAATTATCATGCAACGTAGCCGCGCCATTCTGTCCTTTGCATCCCTAATGACCGTTTCGTCTAGCGCGGTGTCGCGTGCCGCGCCGTTTGCCGACAAATTGCCGCGTCAACACACTTCACGTTAGTTTTCTATCATATTTTCTTCGAACGGTTCGATTACGAGTCAATGAATGCGTGACGGGGTTTGCCGTAATAATAATTTACGACAGGAAAAGCAGTGGTAATAGAAAAATTGAATGCAAACAAGTAGCTGGACTATCTAAACATTTCAAATACACAATTGATATACAATTAATTCGAATAAATTGTTTGTTGCACATTTTATTTATATAGAAAATTTGTTTTAATTTTAAAAATGTTTCTTTTTTCATTTCAATTTAAGCGTTCAAACAAAACAAACATTTTTTTAGACAAATATATTTAATCGCTTGTTAGCGCTCCGTGATATGTTACATCAATGTAATACACGACTAATGTGGCCATTTGTAAGCATTATGTTTTTCCGACAACGAAGGCAGCTTCTTTTCTATGGAAATATAAACGCGGGTGGCAGAAGAAGACATTATCTGTCATGCCCTCCCGTGAGAATTCTCGCGGTTACTTCAACTTCTTACTTTGTGTGAAACGTCTCTCTATGATACGAGAATAATAATGATGTGTTATACCTCCGTGTAGCGAGAGAGAGAGAGAGAGAGAGAGAGACGTTCTAGGATCTGCTACTGTGTAGTAACAGCTTGTTTCGTAATATCGATTTCACTCACGCTCGTGTACTTTTATTATTAATTATCGCAGAAAATAAAAGATAATATAAAAAAAAATAAGAGCGACATTCACGTAGAAATGTTCAAAAAATAAGAAGTAATAATAACAAGAGTCCTTTTACGAGAGCATCTCGAAAGTGCACCTCGCTTACATACATGTATGCGCATCTCGCGTACATGTGCGCGCGAATGCCGACGGCGCTTTCGTCGAGACGTCTAACAAGAAGCTCGCTTTTACTTCGGCACCTCGAGGACGCGTTCTAATTAGGATCACGCGTGTTCGCCTCTTATAACGGAGGGGGCGAGTCTTGTCGGTTGAGCGGTCGTCCCTTCCGTGCAGCGCGAAGCGCGACGTTGGGAAAGAGAGAACGAGAGGGTGGAAACTCATCGTAAAGGCGCCTAACACGGCCATGCCGAACTTGGAATTTCTGCCGTATAGTTCCGCATACATTAGGGACCTTGGGTGAAACTTGGAGGGTAGTTTGCCTCTCGGCAACGAAAGGAGGCGAGGGCTCGAAGCGCAGCGTGCTGTGCTGAAGGACGGTCGGGTTGGAGGGACGGGTTGGGTGTAAACCGCACAAAGTAATCTTACAGAATGTATATGCAAAGAGGTTCAACGGCGCGGCGAAGCGAGGTGAGGAAGCGAGGACACAGCTTGCATGATTCTATTCGCGACAATCTCGACAAGACACCTCCGCGGGCAAACTTATCTCGTGTAGCTTACTTCGCGAAGACTCGTCGATTCTTGATCGATGGTGATTAATTCCATTAATTAGTTTGCGTTTAATATTTATAATTTATAATTAAGTAAATCGCGCGTAAAACATACAGTAATATGTGGATATTAATATTTATTTAAAACAAGTATGTATAATGAGACGTATTAAGAGAGAAATCACACACACACACACATACAACGGAAGTTAACTTGAAATGACTAAGTATCGTTTTCACGGAGCAATTGCCGGAGTCGCGCGAGATATCTTTTACGTAAAATCTAAATTGTTGCTGCTCTCCCAAGTATATCAGAATGTCAATCTGTTCAGCGAGCTTGGGCGCACACTCCCTTGTTTATTCAAGAAATATTTCTATCATTAATCAAACTAACGGCACAGAGCGCTTGACAGGTGCAGCTGGTCGTGGTGGTTTTCGAACGTCGCTCGGGTTTCTGAAGAAAGAGAGAGTGAGAAAGAGAATAGATAAACCGAAGAAACCCATTTATTCGTTCCAAGAGTGGTCGGCAGATACGCAGATAGCGCGAACCGTGATGGAAATAAAATCGTTTACATCTTGTTTCTTTAATTAGGCAAATCCACTTGGGCAGGAGTGCCAGTCGATAAGCGTCCGTGAGATAAGTCCACTCATTACCGTCGGAATTTATCGATATAAAACGCGACTGTGGTATCATTTCTCTCTTCAGCGTGAATTATCTCTTTCTTTGTCACCGCGCTATCGTGTTCGCGCGCATAACACATAGGAAAATTCGCATAATTATCGGTTGTTATCAATTTGCGAGAAGACGCGCGCTCGAATTGCGCTTCTCGAGATTAGCGCCGAAAGATTATTGGTTATCGAACGTGCCTGTACATAATCGAGTAAATTATTGCGCAGCGCTAATACGCACGGCAACACCTCGTCTCACGACGATAATTAAATATCACCGATTAAATTTAATAACCGGTTAGATAATTGCGGGTTATACAATAGCGCGCGATGCTCGCCTCACGACGATAACTCATTGCGATCGCGTTAATAACGATGTCGAGAGGTTTCTAGCGAACTGTGATATCAACGACAACCCAATTTTCTTGGCAACAAACGCCAAATGCGCGTAGGTATACAAATTTACGCGTTTAAGTCTTTGTGGCGCCACAACGACGTGCACCAATATAAACAAGCTTGTCTACAAGAGTAGTTAGCACCCACTGTTCCCGTGTAGCGAGCGACTAGATACACCTCTAACAAGTCCGCCGACATTTATTCCGGCCTATTACGAGTTAATCTTGAAGGCACACACACCGCGCA